CGTGTCGCTTAGCAAGATCGAATGAATCTCGCCAATATAGATGCGAAGTTTTGTTTTTATGGTGATTTCACGACAGCTCCAGAAAGGTCACATCAACTGGAAGAACGCATTTCTAGCTGCCGTAATCGGGGGTGTAATATCGTTTTTTGTTTTGGCCATTCAGTATTAGAGTGGATCCAAAGTATTTAATATTGGGCATTTCCTCAACTGGTAATGAATTTATAAAAAGAGGCATTTTGCCACCTTCTTGTTTATAAGACGAAAATGATTTTATCTTATTTACACCAACCCTGAGTATAATTCTCGCTGCAGTTGCTGATTTCTTGATTTCACATTATTTAGCATTACCTGCATTTCGTCCTAACTGAATCAACAAAAAAGACTACATCATCAAGATTTCTAATCCAATGCTCTTGACTGGTTTGTACAACTTTTGAGTGCTGACAACCAGTCCATTATCCAGTCTATTGCATAGTTGAATATTGTGGGGGAAAGGATGCAGCCCTGATGGACACCTGTTCTTATTTCGAAGGAATCTGTCAGCTCCCCATATACACAGACCTGTGCCTACGTACGCTTATGAAACGCGGTTTATGAGTCGAATGATTTTTTCTGGAACATCGTCGTGTTCCATCACCCTCCAAAGCGCCGCTCTATCAATTGAATCTAAGGCAGCCACAGAGTCGATGAAACACGTGACGGTGTGTCGCAAATATCTGAAGCGATGTTTCAACACCCTTTTTAACCTAAATATCTGATCAGCACAACCGCGCCTCGGTCTAAATCCAGCTTAATTAGGGCGCATCCTGCTGTTCCATACTTTCATAAGTATGTTGAGTAAAAAGGAGCAAAAATTTTCTATATAAACGTTGGAAAACGATCAAGTAGAGGAAATACCATGACAAAGCAAGGTCCTCCATGGATTGCATCAACGACAGGTAGCTGGGGGGTAGCACATCGTGAAATCTTACTCAGTGGCCAGAGAGAATTGGACTAAAAGGCAATACTGAGGCATTGTTTATAGCAATACAAAAACAGGTACTAAGTACCAGATCTTTCGAAACAAAGATCTACTACACTGGACAAGACTCTAAATGTAGTCTGTGCAAAATTTCCCTAGAAACAGTCCAACACATAGTGAAAACAATATATACTGAAAGGCACAACCATGTAGCTGATGTCTACAGGAACATCTGTTCAGTACATGGCTTAGGTCTTCCCAAGAAATGGCACACTCCTCAGAAAATGCATAGAGAATAATAGGAAAAAGATTCTGTGGCACTTCCCTATTTAAATAGATAAATACTGGCCAATCAACCAGAATCAATCATAGTAATAGACAAGAATCAGAAATCAACACTGGTAACTGGTGATTGACTCAACAATACCAAGCAATAGGCACGTCAGAAAGAAGGAATATTAGAAGAAAAAGTAGAGAAATACCAAGGGCTGAAAGATGAACTAAAGAAGATATGAAAAGTAAAGGCCGAACTAGTGATAATTGGAGCAATCGCAAATGTGACCACTAAACTAGAAAAATGATTCCAGCAAATTCCAGGTACAACATCAGAGATCTCTGTCCAGAAGAGCGCACTATTAGGAACTGCTAAGATACTGCGCAGAACCCTCAATCTCCCGGGCTTCTGGTAGAGGAGTTGAGGGTGATCATGACCACCCACAGTGCAGTGAGAGAAAAATTTATATATATATATATGCGTTTCCAGATGAACAGATAGCTGTCAATTTCGGAAGATTTTTTCTGGAAGAGTTTATAGAAGTTTAATAAATTTACTTAAGTTTAATAAATTTACTTAACTTTAATAAATTTTCTTTTTCGAATATTGCCTTTAGTTCGTTGCACTGCAGATTAATCGCATCAAGTTATAAAGTTGTTCAACTTCTTTTTATAAATTATTAAGAGCAAAAATTTTAACTCTGACTTACAATTATCAATATAACTGGATAAGAGCACTTATTTTTCAATCTGGCAATTTAAAAAGATCAGCTGAGATTGAATACCGATAATTTCATTTGAAAACGATTCTAAAAGATTTCCATGAATCTCAAAATTTGGTGTGGCACCACGAACAAATATGGTCATTTGGACAGTGGGTGTCACATTCGTTCGTTAATGGCGAGGTAAAAATAATAAATCCATTGGAGATTTCAGAAGTCTTCATCTTTTTAACACATTTGAACACATTTGAATATCAGCAACTCGCATTTGTATTTGGTCATATAAATGAGACATACGGCTTGAAATTTCGGCATATTGTTTTTGCAGCAAAATGTTTTAGACGTTCATTAAATATTTTTTCAGAAAATCTCAATCTGAAAAGGCCTCGTTGATGTCGCATTTGACAGAGATATACTGAAACTCATTTCATCTTTAGATGCATCAGAACATGACTGAAACATATTTTGTTGAATTGTTAGCTTTGCGTCTTTATGCGTCCTTAATTCGTCGTAATATTTTTTGTTGGAATCTGAATCTGAATGAGAATCTGAGAACCATTTTCTTTCAAAATGGTGCTTCAAATTGTATTCTTTTGTCAATATCACGCTTTGATAACAACTAATATGCAAAATTTTTATATTTGAGTAAAACAATACCTTTCTCTCTGCTTAATTCAATAAAATAAATTAAAAAGCAATATAAAACACAAAAATAGATAGTTTAGAACTAAAAATTAAGGCCAAAAAAAATTAAAACTTGAAAAAAAGCCAAAAAAATCCTTTTCCCAAAAGTTCAAAAATTCGTGCTACAGTGATTTTTAAAACTGACCGCAGGTTGTGCATCAGTGACCTAAATCAGTGAAAAATGAAGCAAAAAAAGCGAATGAAAAAGGCACTACCAGTAGATTTTAGAACTGAATTTTGTGCATCAATTAGAGTTCGATTCTTTCGCTTTTGTGCACATTTCTTTTCACAACTATCTTTTGAATTAAATCGATTTTGATTTCCACGACATCCGCCATATGTGAATTGTTTACACTGCTCGTCTTCTTTATCAAAGTACCATTGAGTTACAGCATCGATGCATGGGCCACTGTCCCGTTCGAATTTACATATATCTTCTATAAAACGATAAATGGTATCATTAAAATTTAAACAACTTTCTAATTCCGTTCAATTGTTAAGATTCACCGAATAAAGATTACCATCTTCTGAAATTTTTGTCTCGAGAGAACACAAATGTTGGCATTCCGCTTTACTTGAAAATCGATTTCCATTGCCTCCACAACCAGAATACATGAAAACATGACATTCACCCAAATTTTTATTGAAGTACCACTTAGTTATGCCCAAATTACAACTTCCTTTATTTACTCTCATTGAACAGACATCTGAAAATAGCTAATTTTTTCAGCAGGAGTGAATTTTTAATCCAACTAATTTCTCCATTTTCTAGAAAATCAAGATAAACCTTGATTCCTAAATAAACCGCAAGCACGTTCACAAGCTTCTTCAGACGTAAAATAATTGGCATTATGGTCACATCCCGTATATATAAAGGTGACACAACTGGAGATTTCTGAATTGTATCGCCAACGTACTATTTCACCGAAACAAGGACCCCTATCCTCCGGTAACAAACATAATTCTAAAGCATT